GCAGGGTTTTGGGAGCCCATCTCCCTACACCTTTCCCACAGAAGACAGGAACCAAGAAGTGAAATCAGAGTCGCAGGTGTGCGCAGCATTGGCACACAAAATGTTATTCAATCAGGAAAGCAAGTGGGGTTGTCCATCCAAACCACAGATCTGTGAGGGTGGCTAGAGGGTGCTCCTTCCAAGTGTGGCTTGTGGAAACAGGACAGCACTGGGGCTGGTAGAAAACGCCATGCAGAGGTGACTCGAATCAGGCAGCCCTCAGAAGAGGGTCCCTGCCAGGAAGTGGATCTTGCCTGTGTCTATGGGAACAAACAGTATAAGGAGAAACCTCCAGGAAATCCTGGCACAGGCAGGAACTAGCAGAGTGATGCCCACATGAGAAGTGGTGCCTGGGAGGGCAAGGCGCATGAGGCCTGCTGTGGTGTGCAGAGACGCTGCCGAGAGCTGTGTGTACACTGGGAGAGGCAGGTGGGGCGAAGGCAGGCTCAAGCCAACAGAAACCAGGTTGGCCCATGTGCCCAGCTACACAGCAACAGGAAGCACCAATGGCATCGCAGTCTATGTAAATAGTGTCCCCTGGTGATGTACAGCGTGATAATGGCCCTGAATGCTGCTTTCCCTCACCTCCCCTTTACCTGTGCTTGGGGCGTGGGAGGATAGCAAACACTGACTGTAAGAGGAGAAATTTCCCTTTATACCTGGCTGAGACAGAGGGCTGGGGTGGCATAAAGCTGCCTTGCTGAAATGTGACAGAGTGCTGTCAGAGCCTGGCTTTGTGAAGAACCAGGTCACCAGGAAGAGCTGAGGAGAACAGGCAAACCTGACGGATGGCACGGCAAACTTGGCCCCAGGAAGCACCAGCAAGCTCCAGATTCCCTGGGGATCTGTCTCAGGCGAGGCACTGAAGGCGATAGAGAAGGTGGCCTCTGGAGGCCACTGGAGCCAGGACCCAGCTGCTAGCTCGATGAATAATTAAAACATTCCCAGCTCCTCTTTCTGGAGAGGGCTTTTTGAATGCAGGGGGCTGCCTCTGTTGTTTGGGGTGTTGGGAGAGAAGAGCTGGACAGGGAGGGAACTCTGGGCTGGAACTCTTTTGAGACAAAAGAATAACTTCAGCTACCCTCCCTTATTCCTGGAAAGGGATTTTTGGATTTCATGGACCAGTAAAATCTTCCCTAAAATATTATCAGCCAATTTTTTTATTTTGCCCCCTTAGTACATTAAAAAAAATCCAACAGAACAAAAATAAATCTCCTACCTCCTATCACCTTTACTTTCGCAAAACTCGAAAATCTTAAGCCTCAAAGGGTAGAGAAGGCACAATCTCAAAATGAAAGATAGCTTTCTAAGGCCGGGCGCGGTGGCTCACGCCTGTAATCCTAGCACTCTGGGAGGCCGAGGCGGGCGGATTGTTTGAGCTCGGGAGTTCGAGACCAGCCTGAGCAAGAGCGAGACCCCGTCTCTACTAAAATTAGAAAGAAATTAATTGGACAACTAAAAATATATAGAAAAAATTAGCCGGGCATGGTGGCGCATGCCTGTAGTCCCAGCTACTCGGGAGGCTGAGGCAGGAGGATGGCTTGAGCCCAGGAGTTTGAGGTTGCTGTGAGCTAGGCCGACGCCACGGCACTCACTCTAGCCCGAGCAAAAAGAGTGAGACGCTGTCTCAAAAAAAAAAAAAAAAAAAAGGAAAGATAGCTTTCTAAACTTGAATCTAGACAAACTCACTACACCACTGTTGCTGTATTCTTTGCTTCGGGTGCTATGGAAGCCCAGCCAGCCATGCCAGATAGGAAGAGAGTCCCTGTGTGTGGCCCCCACGTGCTGAGAGCTGTGCCTTCTCCTGCCCCTCCCAGCTGTGGGCAGAAGTTGGGAGACCTCTGGAGACCAAATTGGCTATCTTGTAGACCACTGCTCTGGTGCTAGGATGAACCCCAGCTCAGAAAGAGCCCTGACAGAAGCAACAACACTATTGAAAATTAGAATCAAATAATACTTAATGATAACAGTAGTTAACAATAAATGCATTTAGTATGTTATAGGTGCTATGCAAAAACACCCAGATGTGAAATCTCAGTGACTCCTCCCCATGGGGCCATTAGTAGGTCTGTTGGCTCTTGCTCCATCTACGATAAGGAAACAGAGGGTCAGAAATGACACGGTCACTAGTTCCAAAGTGACAGGTTACCAAAAGTCAGCCTGACTCCAAGCACGTCAGCATGCTGCAATCCTGCAAAAACAGCCCTCCAGCTAAGACGATACCTGGTTGGCGTGGATGTCTACCATCAAAACCTCAGGGGCAATTAAGGATCCTGAAAGGGATTTAGCAGCTAAGGATTTGCTGGGGTAATTACAACATTCCCCTTTAATTAGCCCTTCCCCTCAACACTCCCGGCCCACTGAGCATGGCTGAGCATCCCTCCCCACAGGCTCAAGGAAAAGCCCTCTCCCTCCCCAGCCATCCTGCACCCAGAGCCACAGTCCCAGAGCACTGGTGGGCCCAAGAGGAACCCAAAAAGCCACTAGTGGGCTGAGTTCCAAGTGAAAGCTGTCTATCCCCTGCACAGGCCTGACTCCCCTCAAGTGAACAGAACAGGACCTCAGCCACCCAGCAGTCAGATAAGGGCCAGGAAGAGGCAGTTCCACCAAGGGCTGGATATGAGGGTTAAGGGGACAATGTTAGTCTTGGGAAAAGTAGAGAAACTGAGCTGGAGCAGGGCCAGACCTTTCCCAAAAGGCCCCAGGCTGTGGCTAGACAGCTGGATGGGCCAAGGCACTGAGAGGGGCTGCTCAGGCCCTGGTGTCTGTGATAAGAAGCTCAAGGTGGCTCTGGGCCAACTGGGACACGAACCCAAGAGGCCACTGGTGTCCTGGGCCCTAGCCCTGGGAGATGGCAACCCCAGCAAAAGCAAACACCCTGCAAGACCACACCTTCCGATGGGTATCTGCTTTCCCATGGCTCCTGCCCTCCTTACACCAAGCCTATCTCTGAAACACTATCTAAAAGGCACCTACCAGGCAGTGTGAACCCAAAGGCAAAAAAAATGTGCGTCCCTTTTGACTCAGCATTTCCACTTATAAGAATGAATCCTTAGGAAACAGATCTATGTGTAGGGATGTTCAGGGCAGCAATGTTTAGGGATACAACCGAGATTCTAAAGTCAACCCTTGGGGTTGTTTAAATAAACGACGGTACCGCTCACCGAGGCAGCCATTTACACTGCAGGGGAAGAGGTGCTCATGATTTCCTGGGGTGTGTGCTGTCAACAGGGCTGCCCCGGATGTTCGGTATGAGGGGAAATACAGGGAGAGGTCAGCTTTTCTGTTAACGTTAAACACATTCTCTCCAGTGAGCACGTTTACTTCTTTTGTAATATTTTTTAATTTCAAAGGTTATAGAAAACCACCAATTAGCAAAAATGCAGGCTATAAAACAGCATATTTACATTGATTCCAATTCTATAAATATCCATCTATTCATAGATTTAAAAAATCAGAAATATAGACACCAAAATGTGAAGTGTACGTGTGTTTGGGTGATCTTATTTTCTGCACTGGCCTGGTGGGAAGCACTGAGCCCGTGTGACTCTCTGGAGCCATTTCTGGGAAGGTGGCTGCAGCAGGCTCCTCCTGTGCCTACCTCAGAGACTTTGTACTCGCAGGTCAGCTTCTTCCCCTTCACACCTTCATTGAGGGTGAGGATGAATCCGATGTAGTCAGCGTATGCCTACCAAACAGAGGGGAGAATGGGGATGGGGAAAGAGGGGCGGACTCCCTGCCACCAGCCTCTAGCTCCACCAACTTACCAAAGAGCTCCAAGCTGCCCCTGGATCCCAACCCGGTAGCAGGAGAAGTAGAAAGGTAATGCCAACACCCTACCCTTACCCTCCAAAAAAGCTGGCCAGCCAGTGACCATAATAACACCCTGACGTCCAACCAGTGTTTACTGAGTACTCACTGGCAGTAAAGAAACTGCCAGCAGTTTCTTTAAACAACAACCCCATGAGGTAGACACTATTGCTGTTTGCATTTTACGGATGAGGAAACCAAAAGAAGTGATTTGCCCGAGGTCCCTGAAGACTAAGATCTCGTTAGACATGGAGCTAGGACCCAGCCAGCCTAACTCCAAAGCTGAACAGCTAAAAGCTTGACCATTAGGCCATACAACCAGGAGGTGTTCAAGGAATACCACCAAGGGTCCCTCCCCGAGTAACGTTCCAGATGTCGCTCCCCTCCACAGACAGGCCAGGCTGTCTGGCTGCAGCACAGATGCCTGCTCCCAGGAGAAGAGCTGTTTTCTGCCCACAGAGCAGTCTCCTAGCACACCCATCCCCAGCTGTCAACTGGACACTCTGTTCCCTGCTGGGCCTTAGTTATACCTGGCACAGGGATAAGAAAGCACTGAGGAGCAGGCCCCTGGAGAGGCAGTTGCTGAGAGCAACTGACTCCTGCTCGGTCTTCTTTTTCATCCCTTTTCCCTCTCATTCGCTGCTTGTCCAAGCCATGTGGATGCTGAGGCAGCCACAGCAATCCCTGAGACAAGCCCTGAAAACCTACCACTTAGTATCTAGAAGGGAGCATTCCCATACCAGGATCCTCCTGCCAGCACATGCAGTGACCCCCAACAGGCCAAGAGGATTATCCAGAGTACCTCCCCAGCCCAGGGCAAGTTTAAGCCCTTGAACACTATAGCCAGTGTTCACAATCATTCCTATCTGCAAAGCACACTGGAACACAAGATAGAAAGCAGCAAGGGGAAGTGCCATGTTTGGATTCAGACAAACAGGTTCAGGGTAGCGCAGTGGTTCTCAATTGGTGCAATTTGGCTCCCAGAGGATATCAGAAAATATGTGGAGACATTTTTGGTTGTGACAACTGGGGGATGGGGTGCTACTGGTATCTAGTGGGCAGAAGCCAGAGGTGTTACTAAACATCCTACAATGTACATGACAGCCCCCTACAACAAAGAATTATCCACCCAAAAATGTCAACAGTGCTAAGGTTGAGAAACCCTGAGGTAAAGCAACCAAGATGACAAAAGGATTCAAACCATGTCCTTGAATAGCTGAAGGGACAATGCTGTCCCTAAGCTGAAGGAACTATTCGTCCTGGTGAAGACATGATAACCGTCTCTAAATATGTAGAGGACAGGCTTGTGAAGGGGGAATCAGATAAGCTTGGATGCCTCAAGCCCCAGTGAGGACAAGGCATGGAAGCTGAAGCAATGTAAGTACAACAGACTCCTCACAGAGAACCTGCCAGGCATGCAAGGAGCCCCTGCCTGCCCTCTGTACAAGTGACACTCTCTAGCCCAGAGGACCAGACCCAGGGTCGGTGCCCAACTGGAACCGGACCCAAGGCCTTCCCTGAGAATTTAAAATTGATGCTCTTTTTCTCAATCTGTCTTTCCACAGCCTGTATCAGAAGCATGGGAGGTACAAGCTGTTATCTTCTGCCCACCACTTGGGCTGAGCAGCAGAGAAAGCCAGTCTGTTCCCACTGTTCTGAGTCCCGGCTCCCAGGTATTTTCAGGCTGAGTCGCATCCCTGGCTGAGGTTTCCATGAGATAACCTCTTCTCCCCTTGATGCCCTGGCTCCCACACTTGCTGTTATTTGCAGCCAAGAATCAAAGTGACCCACTCTACCATTGAGAACACTCATTTTCAGCCAACAGAGTAACACTCAAGAGGCAATGGTTTATAAGAACCAGGAGCAGAACTCTTCAGGGTTACCCTGGCACTGTCCCCGAGACCTTTAGGATAAAGCATCTCTTAGTGCTGTCCCCGAGGTGGAGGGACACCCAGCTCCCCTGCCACCTCACTCCCTAGCTTCCGACAACTCAGGTTCCAAGGGCAAGAAGGCTGTGAGCCTCATTCATGCCTAGAAAACCACTGTCTTTGAAAAAGCCCATGTTTCTCACCCTGTTCCAACCTACAGTGCAGACACCACTGGTACCTGAGAACGCTTCCATTTGCCCATGTCTGGAACTGTGTGGATCTCCTTTTTCGGAATAAGGAAGTTCTGAGTGGCTGGAGGGATCTCCTCCGAAGAATCTTGATGAAGAAAATGAAAAAACAAATAGGTAAATGGAATCCTCTCCCCAACAAACACACACACACACACACACACACACACACGCGTGCTCTCTCTCTCCTCTCGCTCACTTTTAAATCAAGAATCCAACACCCAAGCCCTAGCATAAACCAGACCCACTGGTCCCCTGTCTTTCCTCACCCTGCAAGGAAAAAAGAGCAGGGCAATATGGACAATCCCTTCAATAACCATGCCCTCCCCTCCCACTCCCCACCCAAGCAGGACAGTTAGAAAAATAAAACCAAGTTAACATTTTAGACACACACAGGCAATTCAAAGAAGAAAAAAAATACAAATTGCAACAAACATTTGAACAAAAACACCAACCTCCAGCAAAGACATGTAAATTATACATGATCTCTTTTCCCAAATAATGTTGGCAGATTAAAAACATCTGGCATTAGTTCTGGGAAAGGGAGACAGGAACTCTCCTGGGCTGTCAGTGGGACTGTTAGTTGGTAGGACCTGCTAAGGAGGCAACTCAGCACTATCTTTTGAAGTAAAAACTGCACATATACAATGAGCCAACAGTTCTACTTACAGGAATCTAGCCTTCATATGTGCTCACAGAAACAATCAAAGATATACACGAATGTACTTACTGCATCAAAAAAATTAGAAACAACCTAAATATCAATTGATAAGATGATGGCTAAGTAATAATATGCTAACATAATGGAAATCCTCATAGCTTTTTATTTTTTTATTTTATTTCATTTTTTTGAGACAGAGTCTCACTCTGTTGCCCGGGCTAGAGTGCCGTGACATTAGCCTAGCTCACAGCAACCTCAAACTCCTGGGCTCAAGCGATCCTCCTGTCTCAGCCTCCCAGGTAGCTGGGACTACAGGCACAAGCCACCATGCCCAGCTAATTTTTTCTATATATTTTTTTTAGTTGTCCAATTAATTTCTTTCTATTTTTAGTAGAGACGGGGTCTCCTCTTGCTCAGGCTGGTCTCAAACTACTGAGCTCAAACAATCCGCCCACCTCGGCCTCCCAGAGTGCTAGGATTACAGGCATGAGCCACCACGCCCGGCCTCCTCAGAGCTTTTTAAAAGAATAAAATCTATATTGCTGACATACGAAAGACGGAAAACTGCACTACATTATATATAGTATCATCCCATACTTGTAAAAACAACTATACATACTAATTATAAATAACACACACACATATTAGTACAGCCACGCACTGCATAACATCTCCGTCCACCAACAACAGACCGCATGCACGATGGTGGTCCCGTGAGATTATAATGGAGCACATACAGAAACCTGACATTTGCACCTGATGTTGGCATTGCCGATCAAGTACGGGAAATGACTGATGTTCAGTAATGGGGCCGGGACATTTGGTTTTTCATATGAAATTATACACATAAATAAAAATACATATACCATCTAGGTTTGTGTAAGTACACTCTATGATGTTCGCATAAGAGGAAATCACCTTACGTCACATTCTCACAACACAGCCCTGTCATTAAGCAATGCATGACTGTATATGCAATGGAAAAATTTAAAGGATTAAACGCCAAAGTTACTGATGGTAATCTCTAGGGGGTGTGATTTATAAAGGACTTCCATTTTCCAAGTTACATATTACTTTTAAATACAAGCATACAGTACTTTTATAATCAGAAAAAAGACACAATTTTAAATGTTTCTCCATTTTCCAGAAGGTGAGGGAAAGGAAAACCCAGGGCAGTTCAATGTGGTTACCTGGAGGCAAACTTCACGTCAAAGCTAACTATTAAATACTTACTAGAAGTGGCCTCTCTAGCCAAAGATATCTTCCCAATACTTAGGACTCCCTTCACTTTCACTTTGTGACACACAGGAAAATACAAGCCCTCAATCCTTTATTCATAATTCCAAAATCCGAAAAGCTCTGCAAACCTAGTTTTTAAATAAATTTATCATAAGCTCACTTGGTATAATACCTAAACCTAAATGAGGACATTTGTAGGCTTTTGTATCTCACTTAGTGAGGGTATTTACATATTCGCTGAAGTAATTTTGATTATGGGATGCTGTTTTCTGAGACATGAAAAACTGTGTATTCTAAAACATATGCAGCCCCAAGGGTTTTGGATACGGAGTTGTAGACCTGAATTTACAATCAGAAAAGTACTTTTGTAATCAGAAAAAAGCCACAATTTTAAATGGAGTGTCTATATTTTCCAGAAGGTGAGGGAAAGAGAAAGAGAGGGAAGAGTAAAGAACTACCAGTCATTCACAGCGCAGTATAAATTTGTCCCACTGTTCTTCTCCTAAAACCTAGCTGACATCAGCTGCATGGGAAAAAAGGGACAGAGACCTAAGAAAGCTCTGGAACATGTGACATTTAGGGGAATAAAGCCTGCTGGAGAGGTCCTGAGGAAAGGAAAAGTGCCGGGAGTCTTGGAGACCTAAGTAAAAGGATAGAGAATCTGAAATACAAGCAAGACAAACCTCTGCACTTAAAACTCAAACCAGAGCCACAGAAAGAGACCAGAAGCTCTCTTCCTCCTACCACCTGTCCTGCAAGTCCCGTTCCCAGAACCCAAAATTGAGGCCCCTACTATTAGTAAATTGCTACCTTAACTAAGATGCTAAATAAAAAGCTTTGTAGGCCAGGCTGGTAACCCAACCACATTGTTTTTATGGGAAAATGTGTTCCACATTCCAAATAATCAACTTGCAAATGATCTTTGGGAACATAACCTATTTTTAAGTCTGAGAAAACTGTTCCCTGCCAGGGGACAGCCCTCCTGACATTATTTCACAGGGATATTTCATGGTGAGGAAAGCCCCTAGACCAGTCTCTGTTCCCCAACAAAAAGCTACCTTTCAAGAAGCACTATAACAAACTACTGACGAAACACACATAAACTGTCAGAATACACAATCCCAAACAGAAGAAACAAGGCTTCAAAGATAGGACTGTGATAAATGACGACACACCCAGTCTCTCTAGCCTCAGATTTTGTCTCTGACAAGGTGCCAAGGGACAGTGGATCCCCTATGACCTCACAGTACAAGATGGAAACATCCACAGTTTTAGAGTTGTTCCTAAAAAAATGCCAAAGAGTAAAATATACGGTATTATCAACTACCATTTGGGAAATGGTCTACATGTTCAACCTGTAAAATTTTGAAACTTTGAAAAGGATAGCAGCGATCAACATTTACTGACTACCTACCATGTCCCACTTTTCACACATCTTCTTACTGAATGAGTACACACTACAAACTCTACGAAGAAAGTATAGTAGCCTCATTCTAAGAGATACCTGAGGCTCACAGAGGCTGTGACTTGCCAGGCAGAGCCTGGCTCGTGTGACTCCAAAATCCAACGTTTTCACCGCTGTACTGAGTTACGAACTTCTTTCCACTTGTTCCTGTCTCAAACTTCAAAGGAGGACCACCTCCAGGGACCTGAATCTTTCCAGCCATAGATAATCTCCCTGAGCTGTCCCCTCTCTCTCACTGCACAGGTTCTCTCCTCACCTCACTCCTATTCATCTTCAGAGACACATTCAACTCACTGAGAATTCTGGTTGCATTGTATCTCATATCTCTTGATGTCATTACCAGAACTTCTAAGAGCACATGAACAGAGGTTTTGTCCAAAAATATTATAAAATAAACGTCTGGTTTTGAATGCACTAACAGACCAAACCTAGCTCTTTGTTCATCTATTTTTGGAGGCATGGTAAGGTTTCATCATCTGATTTTCAAAATTTCTCTCTTCTGAGACCTTCCCAGGGATCACAAAATTTGAGACAGGGTAGAAGGACTATCAAATGCTTTCAAAATATCAGTTGTGTTTGGCCAACTTATTTGCCCCTTGGTCAGAATTTTAAGTTATCTATGGGCAGTCCTTCTGAGCTCAAGGGGGGTTAGCGAACAGCCTTCCCCTAGTCCAGGAAAGGTCGGGAAAGTCTCTGTAACAAGATGCCTCCCGAGCACCTCCATCCCAGTTATGAGATGAACTAAAAAGAGTCCAGGGTGTAAATAAAAGTTACAGAAGATGATGCCAGAAAGCAACTCTCATCTCCTTGCGCAACCAGCCTTTTTAAATTAGTGGTTAGACACTAGGCGGTTTCTCTCAATAAATTCTCGGCAATTGAAACCCCAGTTCCCAGCCTCCAAGAGGGAGAGAGAACAGGTGGATGAAGAGTGGGTAGGGCGTGTAGGAGGGCTGAAAATGCCGGCGAGGCAGTCTCAGACCCAGAGAGCACCGCCTCCCCAGCAGGGTCCAATACAGAAGACAGCGACCTGAATCACTTTTCGCCCCCATCCCTGGCAACTTCCCCAGCAGGTCAACAGCTTACTCATGCACGCGCTGCCCAGATGTGGAAAAGACCTCCCTTTCTGGCCACCGCGCTGCCCGTCAGGCACTCTCCAAATCCCAGGGTCGAGGCCCACCCACCAGCCCTTTGCAGCCCCTGGTTCTAGTCCT